TATATATATATATATATTCATACATATTAACATTATTTCTATATAAATAAAAAATAATTGTGATTCTAATAAATAATCAAATTTTCATAATTATCTCACAATTCAATACAATGGAAAGTTTTAATCCTTTTGATGACCTTAAGTTATAAATATGATAAACTTTTCTTTTCTAAAAAAAAACTTAAAAAATTTATGGGACACTTTTTTTAGGGGAGAAGTTTTTAGTTTCATGAAAGTTTTATATTTGGGATATTGATTTTTCATGTTTGATATTTACCAAAAAAATTCAAAGGAGATATATTTTGGGAAGCAATTTTATCCCACTTTCTTACAAAATCATTCCCATGGGATTTGGGAATCTAACTATCTAAAATTAGGAGAAATATTTAATAATATAAAAAATTATAATATCTTTTTTTTTTTATATAAATATAGTTGAAGTTCATCTTTATTCCAAAATATTAAATCTCCATTGTTCCTCCACAATATCCTTTTCTCCCCTTCTCTCTATATCTCATGTGTCATTATTTTTTGTCCTTGTGAAGTTTAATAATATTAGGATAAAATACCTTTTCAATCCCTTTAGTTTAATTTACTTTATATTTAGTTCCTAAATTTAAAATACTTTTTTAGTTCATATACTTGTAATTTTTTAATCCTTTTAGTTCTTATCGTTAATTTATTGTAACACTATCTCTTTTGTGTTGATGTGGCAAAGATACTCAACTTTGTGTTTCTGATATATCAAATTTACTTTGCTAGATTTACCCTAAATTAGGTCCCTTAATACTTTGTGCCTATTTTTCACTCTCACTTGTGATTCGCATTGTTAAGATACCATTTTTTTACCCTCACAAAATTGAAAACCTTTAGCATGTCAACACAAAAAGAGACAATGTTAAAAATAATTAACAACTTGAATTAAAAAGATAAGTATAGTAACTAAAAAATATATATTAAACTATAGAGACTAAAAAGAATTAATAAAGATAAATATATTGACAAAAAATTGTCTATTTTAAATTTTAAAAGTAAAGTAAATAAAATTA